AACCTTCTCTAGTGAAAGGTGTCCCTGCCCACAGCAGGGGGTTTGAAACTGGATGATCTTCAAAGTCCTTTCCAACCCAAACCATTCTATGATTCTATGAACTAATTATAGCATCCCAGGCAGGTCTTCATGAGATCATCCTACCCAAATCCTTCCATGGGGAGGGGATTAATTGACTAACATGGACACAGTTCTTACTCCTTTTCTGGCAAGGCATATCCAGCTGGGGAGAGAAATAATAAAGAAGACACTGAGCTCACCTGAGGACAGACACAGTAAAACAAATAACCCCCATTGTGCCCCTTGGGAGTGCTGGACAGAAAGAAGTGATTGTTTGAAGGAGAACTGCCTCCTTGCTATTAGAGTGGAGGGGATAAGGGGGAAAAGAAATAGGGTTTTAATCAGTCCCTGTGGGGGCTAAGCAAGACCATAACTTCACAAAAACTTTCTGAAGAATGAGGTCCTGTCATAAACTCTCCTTGGGGGTCTTTGCCAAAATGGTAAATGTGAGAGTAGATTTGCATCTGCTCAGCCCCAGACCACGCTAAGGACCCCCCTACACCAAAGGCGTTTGCAACAAGGCCTGGTAACATGCCATGTGTGAGACACCCACCCCACAACAGACCAGTCACAAAGCTCAGGGACTGAAGCACTGCCTGAGCCTCGTACAAGGCCAGAATGAATTTCCAGTGCTATGAGTGAAGCTTTGAGACATAAGTACTACAGAAGTTTTACTGATGTTTTTCCAGTTGATTGCAGGTTACCTCCTGATTGTTTAGGAATACTGAGCTTGAAGCTCAGTGTGCAGCTGCAGTGCAAGAGGCAAAGGGCCCTGAACTGGTGCCAGCCTTTTACATAACAAAGGCACGGGGACCTGTGGCACCAGCCAGGTGAACAGACACTCAGAGACACAGCAGGAGCCAGGGACAGCAGACTTTCACACTTAGACTGTGAGGGTATAAAAACCGCAGGGTTTCTTTTTCTGGGGTCCCTCCTTGAAGGCACCCAGCTCAAGCTGCTCTTTTGTTGTTGCAATTTATTTTAAGGGTCCGGGTGTCTGAGACTCTGCTAGGGAAAACCTGGGGTCAAGCCAGTGAGGAAACCTTGTCTGACTGTGTGAGTGTGGGGTGTACAGGGAGTCAAACAGGGCACCCATTGGCTCACTGGGGCCACCTGCCCTGATGGGCAGTCCCAGCTCAGGTGGTGTGACTGTGCCTGCCAGAGGGGCTCCTGGGTGGTCAGACAGAAGGGTTTCCTTAACAATGATTACAGTGAGGAAAAGTGTGGGCCTCCTGTTGTTTCTGCCATAATGCTGGTTATTATTTACTTACCCTTTCTCCTTTCCTTTTTATCCATAAACTCATGTGTATTGTTAGCCAGAGAAGTATTTGTAGTCTCCATGGTGAGTTAGGTTATTCTGGTCCATTCAAAGACACACTAGCCTGCTCATGTGGCCTGTTCATACACACAGGCCACAGCTATTTTGGAGAGTGTGAGAATAGAACAGGCCTTTCAACCTCATTACCTAATGAAAATGAATCAACGAGAGAGACCTACTTGTGCACAAATGAACTGTCAACCCTATGATGGAATTTTACCGTGATTATAATGCCATCTGTCCTGCCTCTTCAGCGGCAGCTTCCTATTGCACTGTGTGCCTGCTACAGCGCGATTCTGTGACTGCTGAGCGGTGCTGACCACGCTCACCTCCCCTTGCACTGGTGGGAGCACAGGCCAGTCCCTGCCCTGCAGGATCCCAGCCCGGGCTCCCCCAGGCAACAGAACCCTGCTGTGCCCAAGTAAAGCAGATTTCTGGGTTTCTACATATATGTATATAATTTGGTCAATACCACAAGAATGGCCCTGGCTTTCCACTGCAAAGCTTTGCAAATAGTTCAGACTTGAAGTAGGGGGTGATACAGAAAGAACTGCCACTCAGTGATGCACTAAATTAACTAATTCATGTCACTAGAAGCCAGAAAGTCGACAAATCTCCCACTGCTCTCATCTTTTAAATAAACCAGCTTGCTCACCTGACTTTTTAAATGCCGGGCTTTAAATACACTGCTGAGTTCAACTCACCCAGAAGATAGTTTTAGTGTTAGTGAACCTTCCTTTTTAGCACACTGTGCAGGCAACAGCCAAGGAGATGGCCGTACGGGATCAGGATCCCTCTCGGAGCAAGACTCTTGCTGGGCACAATCATCAGATTCCGCTGATGTTCCGAAAGAAATGCCTGGGGTGCGTCAAAAAATAAAAACGCATCCTAAAAATCTCTTTGCCATAAAACGACTACATTCTGAGCTCCATCGCCCTTGTTTCTCCTGATAGTGAAGAATTGGAACGGCAGCATATCCTTTCCCTTTCGGAAGGTTTCCTGGCGACGGATGCTCACTCACCGCAAGGCCGCGTAGAATCGGAACCCCTTCGCGGCTGCAGGAGATGGCAAGGTGGCGGTGACCCGTCTTGGTCGGGAACAGAACCAAATTTTCCACCCAGCGAGCGGATTAGCCAACACCCTCGGAAGTGGAGCCTCGGGAGGGGCGGGGCGGGACGGGACGGGGGAGCTCCGGGATAGCCCTGGCAGTGATCCCGGCAGGATCTGCGCAGGCGCCTTCTCCTCACTATTTATAGCGTGCCAGCGGGTCAGGAGCCTGGTCGCGACAGCAGCGGGACGGGCGGTGCGGTGAGCGGGGGGATGCGAGCGGGCGTCTGCCGGCAGGATGCGGCCCCGTTGAGGGCTGGCGGCGGGCGCGGCTCTGGGGAGCGGCCGGAGGTGCCCCGGAGCCTGGGGACGGGCTGGACACCGCGGGCACCCCCGGGGAGCTGCGTCCGGCCAGCGGAGCGGGCCTGGTCGTGGCACAAGCCGAGCCCCGAAGGGAGGGCGGGCGGGACGGGAGCGCAGGGACCGGGCGGCGGCGGGGGGAGACGGGGACGTTGGCGGGGAATCCGACCTCATCCCCTGGGTGGGAGCGGCGGCCCTTCCGTGCCTTGTCCTGCGCCAGCGGGCGGGAGCGGCCGCCCCGAGCCGGGTCTGGCGCGGAGGGGCCGCCGCTCCGGCAGCTCATGGCCTCGGTGCCCGGCACTAACGCCCTCCGTGCCTGCCGTCCCGGCAGGTGCCTCTGCACACCCCACACCTCCCCGCTCCGCTGAGCCAGACCAGCTGCACCGTCGTGTCCTGACCGAAGGCTCCTGGGATGGCGTATGGCAAGCAGCACCCCGAGCCTGGCGACCTGATCGAGATCAAGCGACAACTTTACCAGCACTGGGCCCTCTACTTGGGGGATGGATATGTCCTCAACGTGACACCTGTAGGTAAGGCTGGTGCAGCCTGGCAGGGTGTAGAGGGGATGTTAATGTGCTTCAGGAGCCCTGTCTCCCTCTGTGGGCTGGTGGTGGACCCACCCTGTGTGTGGAGATAAATGGCCTTTCAAAGAGCAGCCAGAAACCCATCTGAGGTCTTGGAGGGGCCGGACAGGTTCTGCCTGGCTTATCTCCTTCCTGCCTTTCCCAGATGAAGGGGCCCCATCCCTGTTGGTGAGCACTGCCTCAATATTTACAAGAAAGGCCAAGGTGAAGAAGCAGCTCCTGAAGGAGGTGGTGGGAAATAATGACTGGGAGGTCAACAACAAGTATGACCGCTCCCGCACTCCCCTCCCAGTGAAGGAGATCATCAAGCGTGCTGAGAGCTACATTGACATGGAGGTGACCTATGATGTGCTTGGCAAAAACTGTGAGCACTTTGTGACAATGCTCCGCTACGGCGAGAGTGTCTCTGACCAGGTAAGTAACATGAGATAAGCCCCTGTGTACCTCACACAGCACCTCCTTGCTGCTCCCTGTGAGCCCCTGGACAGGGACACAGC